ATAGGCCCGCTCAACCGTCGCGTACACACTCTGAGCCACAGAAAGGCGCTGATGAAGGTTTCCAAAAACATCCCAGTTCCACTGTCTCAACCGGCGCCGCAGTCTGCCGAGCTTCGCCTCGAGATTGCGCATCCCGAAGAGCCCAGTCGACTGAAGCCAGGAATCCCTGACAGTGTCGTGGAAGGAGTGGTGGCGAACCCACATGTTTTGGAACCTAAAGAAAGAGCAGCGGAAAGATGGGCTCTGGGAGGTGGGCAGCGATCCTAGTACACTTGGCGATCCTAGTACACTTGGCATATCGCCCGATCCTAGTACACTTGGCATAAACCAAGGTGTGAAAGATGGGCTCTGGGAGGTGGGCAGCGGAAAGCTCTACGTGAAGCACCTGATCGGTGTCGCGGAGGACCCGACAAGTGTAGTCACGTGAGTGAAAGAACCAGATCTTATGCGAAATATTACCCACGCCCAAGTAGAAGCCAAGACGACGCGAGTAGTAGTCAAAAGAGGGGGTGCGAATCATCGGCTCAATAAAGCCAACAAAATCGAGTCTGTGATCACGAATGAGAGAATGAAGGTGAGAGAGAGTAGCTCTATTCGCCAGGCCACGACCATTCCAGGTAATGGATGTGATGGACATATCAACGGTCTCAAGAGCCACCGGACATAGTCCGTCTGTGGCGAGGCTGAGTCGGGCCTCCTAAAGAAGGCATGTGGCGGAAGGATCGAATAGCAGGGGAGATCGTCCGTCGTGTCGTGCGTTGCGTGGCTCTGGTCGTCGTGGATTGCCTGCCTCTGTAGGTGCTCGTGGCCTGCGTGTCGTCTGGCTGGGCAGTTTGATCTAGGGCGGCACTAACGGGTTGCCCCATCTCCGGGGCTGTCTCCTGTCTGTCGTAGTGAATGAAGGCACTAGAAGCGAAACTCTCGCATGAGACGTCATGCTGAGAGCGGTTAAGACCGCATGCCTGCTCGGGGATGGGTAAAAGAGAGGATCCAACAGGCAGAGCACTCGGGTGCTTGCTGCCAGAAGGAGGATGGGAGCTGGTTATATGCTCAGCCGAGCTCCCAATCTCAGTAGGGGGAAAATGGCCGGCTCATCCCTTTTCGGGGGAGCGGTGACGGCAGTAGCCCTCAAATCCGAAGTTTGAACCGGGCTAGATACGCGCACAATCAAAGGACCGGCATCACGCGCATTGTCATCTGATAGGTGGATGGACTCTCCCCTGGACGAGGCGTTCGGCTGGTCCATATTGTCTCCGAGGAGGTTGTCGTCATCCAGAAACGTAATGTCTAATGCTGCTAGGTTAGTTGTATTTTATTGCTAGGTTATTTCTTTCTTGCTGCTAGGTTAGTTGTCTTTTATTGCTAGGTTTTTTTTATATAAAAAAATTGTAACCCATAGGATTTGAACCTGGTACCTCATGGAAGCAAGACAAGCAATGCAACCACTACACCACTCAAGGTTGAATGTCTTTTGTTGCTAGGTTATTTGTCAACGGGTCAATGCCGGAAATCAACAGTCAACGCCGGAAGTCAACGGTCAACGCCGGAGTCAACTAATTATTATTTTATTATTTAATTAATGTATATTTTAATTGATTTTGATCTAGAGAAAATGAGTGGCTAAGATTGAGTCTCGCGTACTCATTTTAAGGAGTGGTCTCATTGGATCCATCCCCTATATATATATATATATATATATAAGGCGGATCAAATGCGGCCAGCTCTTAAAATGCGCCCAACTATTAAAATACGGACAGCTCTTAGCAACTACAGACAACTAACCAAGCAACTACAGAGAACTAACCTAGCTACTACTAACCTAGCAACTACAGAGAACTAACCTAACAACTATTAACTTAGCAACTACAGAGAACTAACCTAGAAACTACAGAGAACTAACCTAGCAACTAGTAACCTAGCAACTACAGAGAACTAACCTAGCAACTACAGACAACTAACCTAGCAACTACAGAGATCTAACCTAACAACTACATAGAACTAACCTAGCAACTAAAGAGAGCAAACCTAGCAACTATAGAGAACTAACCTAGCAACTAGGAAGCTTATGCGCCCGGTCGATGATGATGGTCTGGTCGAGCTTATGCGCTTTCTGGAGCACTATGGCTGGGTCACCGGCCAGATGGTCAGTGTGCAGAAGAGCACCTTCACCCTCTCCTCTTCCAGCACGGACAGGTGGGCTCAGCGGGTCCACGAGATTACTTGCTTTGCACGCGGTGACCTTCCCATTACCTACCTTGGTGTCCCTTTATATAAGGGCAACCTCACGAGAGCGCTCTTTGCGGGCGTCAGGCAGAGGATGATCGACAGGATTTCTGGTTGGTCGCATCGACATCTTTCTTTCGGTGGTCGGCTTGCGCTGATCAAGAGCACTCTTAGCTCTCTTCCGCTTCATTTCTGGTTGGTCGCATAGACATCTTTCTTTCGGTGGTCGTAAAGCAGAGGACCACATCTTCTGGGTATTGGGCGAGGGCGAGTTAGTTTTTGGGATGAGTGGTGGTTAGGTGATAGGCCGTTGTCTAGAGATAGGCAGGTGACGCATTCCCCCTACCTGCTTGTGGGTGACCTTTGGACGGATGGGTCGTGGGATAGGGGGAAGCTTGATAGGGAGTTGGGCTATGGTGCGGGTTTTAGCGAGCACTTATTAGATCTAGCAGATCCCCATCTCGGGGGACGGTTCGGATGGCATGAGGTGGAGACTTACATCATCGGGTGTGTTTTCTACTACCTCGGCTTGGGAGCAGATCAGGCTGAGAGATCGACCTAATCTTCTCTTCGGGGCCATCTGGAGCGAACTTTTCACCCCTACCATTTCGGTGTTCCTTTGGCGCCTCCTCTTGCGCCGGATACCAGTGGATACTGTGTTACACGCGAGGGGGATCTCCTTCCCCTCTCGGTGTGTGTGTGTTGTTCTGAGACTGGACGCCATGAGACCGAGACCTTTACCCGCCTTTTTCTAGAGAGTGAGATTGTGAGGAGAGTGTGGGAGCACTTTGCCACTTGGACCCATATATCCCTACCCACCACAGACAGTTTATTTGAGCTCCTTATTTTTTTCTCACAGAGCACACACCTTAGACACGTGGGCTTCCTTAGTCTTTGTCTGATCCTTTGGTTCACCTGGACGGAGAGGAATAGTGCAAAGCATATGGATAATACTCTTTTGTTTTCTCACATTGTTTTGCAGGTAGAGAGACATCTTTCACTCCTCATAGCATTGGGCAGGCTCACGACCCGAGACTGGACAGGCTGCACGCCACCACACCGCTACATGATGGCTTCCCTACTGCCTGTTCGGCCCCCTCGGCCCAAAGCTGTTGTTTGGCTTCGACCCTCTCTCCTTGGGTCAAGCTGAACATTGATGGCTCTTTTGATCGTCACACTGGAGCTGCCGGAGGAGGAGGCTTCATCCGGGACCACAGCGGCGCCCTCATCACTGCCTTCCACGCGCCCCTTCAGGCCTCCTCGAGCTGCGACGCAGAGATTCAAGCTTTACAGATTGGCCTTCAGATTGCTGTCCACCTTTCTAGTCATATTTGGATTGAGTTGGACGCTGCGGCTGTCGCCACCCTACTGACTTCGGGCCACCAGGGCTCGTGGCAGATTCAACACCCGCTTATACGCATTATAGCTCTACTTCGGTCTGTCCATCACAGGATCACGCCCATTTTCCGTGAGGGGAACAGACCTGCTGACTACCTTGCCAGCCTTGGCGCCACAATACTAGACCCACATACATTTCAGACCGACACTGCTCCACTCCGGCTTCGCACGCTTGTACGGATGGACCAGCTTGGATATCCATCATTCCGCTTTCAGTAGATTAGGTTTGTTGCTTTCATTCGATTAGACTTTTATTGCTGGGCACCTGTTAGCCCGAAGACAGACTTTGTATTGTTATTTCCTTTCCTTTTCTTTTTTGTTTTGCTTGTGAGACTCTGTAGACTGTAGACAGTTGATATTTTGGGCCCCCGTTTTGGGGTCTTGATCTATGCACAGGTTGGGGATCCAGCCCAATCCCCCGCCCTTCCGGGGTGTTGTTTGTAAAAAAAAAAAAAAGACACCTAGCAACTAGAAAGAACTAACCTAGTAACTACTAACCTAGCAACTACAAAGAACTAATTTAGCAACTACAGACAACTAACCTAGCAACTATATAGAACTAACCTAGCAACTACAGAGAACTAACCTACTTGGAAGGTTAGTTGTCAACAGTCAACGCCGGAAGTCAACACCGAAAGTCAACGGTCAACGCCGGAGTCAATGGGTCAAAATAATATTTAAATAATTAAAATAATAAAAAAAAGAGTAAATCTTGGCCACACATGATGTACCAAATCTTGTGGTTAAAAATGAGTCTCACGTCCTCACTTTAAATAAGTGGATGCATTGGAACCATTCCCTATATATATATATATATATATATATATAGAGTTAGAATCATGTGAGAATGGTAAATAGTGAAAGAAATAAGAATGAATCTAAACCATTGCATACATGATATCAATGGTGGTGATCAAGTCAAACTTTAGTAAATAATGGTCAATCATTAATGACAATGTGGTAAATAAAGATATATATCATGGTCAAACATATAGATTTTATCACTAATTAAGGGTAATTTAGGCAATTGAACCAAACACAAAATGGGACCCACCACCTCACCCATTAACCCTACACGCCTCCACTTACCCCGTCATTCACCTTCACACACACACACACACAATTCTCCCCGCACACACAGAAAATCCGATACGTCACCTCCTCAGCGGCGGAGCTCCGCCGCCACCCTTCTGCAACCCGCCGCAGCGCCTCCACAGACCATCGCCGGAGACAGATGCGACCAAGGATGCTCCGGCCCGCCGTCCGTCGCAGATACCTCTATACCATCCGCCGACGCCGGCGTCCACTTCTAGCCCCCAACAATTAATTCCACTACACCGACACAAGCCCTCTGCCATGGCGATTCCAGTCCGGTGAAGATGGAGAAGGTGAAGGTAATAAACCGGACTGATTTGGTGTCGTTGTCACGGCTGTTGTCGTCTGCCGTTGTTGTCAGCGGCGGCGGCGAGGTGGTTCTAGAAGAGCTGGCGGCGGTGGGGGTGGCCTGATGTAGACTCCGCCGGCGGGGAGTTGGCAATTGTGAGAATTGGGTGATTTTGTAGGGTTTTTAATTTGGAGCCTATTAGGCCCTAGTCCGGCGAGTCATGATCGGCGGCTGCCGGTGGTTGCCGTCGTCGCTGGTGGCTGGTGCTGACAAGGCAGGCGGCGATAGGAGGCGGGCTCGATGGTGGTTCCGGGATTTGGCAGTGTACTTGAAGGGCATTTGGGTTGGATTTTGTAAATTAGACAATGTATATGGGCCTTTGTGCAATTTTTAAAAATTTGATATATGTTTATAATTTTGTCCATGTGAATCTGAAAATCTGAATATTGCTCCACTCACTCTCCCCATTTTTCTTCGATTTCTGCATGATTTCTATTTCTCTGATGATGTTCTTAGCTGGTGTCTATTTTGGTTTTTATGTTGATATCCTGAGTGTTGTATAAATGTGCTACTGTGGTTGATTTCTCTTCTTCTCTTTGATGATGCTTGAAGGCTGGGCTGCTTGTTAGTAGTGCTGATTGCGGTGTTGATAGTGATGCTGGTGGTGTTGTGCGGGTATGTCTCCTTTAGTAGTGTTGATTGTGTAGATGTGCTTTTGCTGAATTCAGGGAACCTTGGTGATCATTTTCTTCCTTTTGCTGGGCAGGATATTTCCGCTCCTGTTGCTTTTATTTTCTCTAGCTTTGATAATGATGTATAGTCTTCTTTTTTCATTTCTCTTTGTATAGCAGTTGCAACTAGGCCGTGTAGGTATAAAGATACAACTCTACGGTCTCATTGTCTAGTCTCTACCGGGAGTTGTTTTTTATACTTTTCTTTTAGTAGGCTTTTAGTGCACGTTTTATTGGGTTCTCTTTTTTATACCTCTTTGAACCTTTTATTGGATTATTTAGCCCAGGTTGTACATTTCGGCTTCGTGATATTAAATCTGCCGTTTCAAATAAAAAAAAAAGAATTCGAAAATAATTTTTAAAAAAATACTAAATGCACATAATGGACTATAAAATGCACAATAATGTGTTTGCATGTACACATTAAAAATACAAATAACAAATCATCTAATGAAAATTTTAGTTTGGTTGAGTTTGGTCTATATTGTGCAATCAACTAGTCATAAAGTGCATTTCATTTAACGTAAGTGTGCAATTTCAAAGCATAAAAATATAATGATAGTAACAATGATAATATTTTTAAATAGTATGTTCGTTTGATTATTTCGATTAAAAAAATACTGACATCAAACCAAGGTAATCGAGTTTTTTAATATAAGAAAGATATCACACCGAAATATATCGAACCAAAATATAAAAAATCTGAACCGAATAAAAATTTTAGTTCGGTCGAGTTTGGTTGATGTTGTGCAATCAGATAATCATTAAAGTTCAACACGTCTAATTTTATTGTGCAATCGCAAGGCATAAAAATCTAATAACAATAAGAATAGTAATATCTTTATATATATATATATCAGTCGTTTGGTTATTTTGGTCGATGTTGTGCAACCAAATAGTCATTTTGAATTATTATTATTATTATTATTATTATTATTATTATTATTATTATTATTATTATTATTATTACTACTACTACTACTACTACTACTACTACTACTATTATTATTATTATTATTATTGTTATTATTATTACTATTATTATTATTATTATTATTATTTTGTCCCAAATCAAAGTGCAATAGGATATTTTGTTCTTTTTTTTTTTTTTTCTTTTAATCTTGTGTAAATAAATCCAAAACCGAATCAAAATAACCAAATTTTTAATATATGTAAAAAATGCACAATAGCAAATCAACCTTTTTTTTTTGTTTTTGATAATGTGGCGTTATCGTGCGGTATGCACCGATAATGTGCTTTTGGTTTAACAGTATGGTGCAATCCAACAGTCACTATTGTGCATCACGATTTATAATATTGTGCTCGGGTTTTTTATGTGCAAATCTAAAATTAAAACCAAAACGAAATAATTAAATCGAATCCATATAACCTAAATAATTGAATGTGGTATATCAACGCTCTAGACACGGTCAAAGGGTCCAGCTTTAATCAAACACGCTGTGGCATTTCTGTAAATAAGTGGACTTTTGATTTTTCACGCATAGTATTTTAGTCATTGCGTAGAATGCACTGTTGCGCTAAAGTGCAATCTGGCGAATAATAATGTGCAATGTGTCTATCAATAATGTGTAATCTATGGTGAGAGTATTTTTATGTACAATTTCAAATGTGATATGGTGCAATGAATTGAACATTAATGTGCAATTATCAACTTTTATTAATTTACAAATTTAACCCATGAACTAAATTGTAATTAGTTAAAAAGTTTTAATTTGCAAAAAAGTCCCTTCAACATGTCTAATTCTCAAAAAATGGCCCAACCCTAATTTCTTAAATTTTCCCAATCTCTGATTTCTGAAAATTGGTGCTCAACTTGTTTCCATGATCCGGCCTCGGCAGTCGGTGCCGGTGTCGGGGCGGATGGAAACGGCGGCAAGGAGGGCGGATACGGCGACGTGGAGGGCAAAGATGGCAGCCTCGCCGGGAATCGTCGAGCTGGATCTGGAAGGCAGTGGCAGCGGATTTTGGACGAGGCGGCTGAGGAAGACGATGTGGTAATGACGATGGGATTCCGACGGCGGCCATGGGTGGCGCCGACGAGAAGTGGGTCACAGCGGCCATGGATGTCGGCGACGACAACGGCGGTTTTAGCGGCTATGGACGTCACTCAGACAAGGGGCCGGCTGGAGTCGGGGCGACGGCGCCGTCAAGGAGGTCCGGCAGAATTACTGTGTGTGTGTGTCCGACAGAGTTACTGTGTGTATGTGTGTGACGGGTGTGTGTGTGTGACGGGGTGGTGTGAGCTGTGTGTGAGAGAGTGAGGGGGAATGAGAGAGAGAGAAAGGTGAGGTGCGGGGCCCATGCGAGTTGGTGTGGGATGATGTGGGTCATATTGTTTAGGTGTGAACAATTACTACATTACCCTTAATTAAGGTATAATTTTAACTTTTTTTGAGTCATTAGATCATTCGATCTAATGGCTACGATTTATTTCTTATTTCTTTTTTGAGTCATTAAACACATGAAGGGTATTATTGTAATTTGGTCTCAAAATTAATTTGTACCCACTCTTATTCTCACGACATTATTTGTTCCTCCANCCCCCCCCCCTCCACACACACACACACACACTGCGCTTCGTATAGCATCCGTCATCCGTTCCTCATCGCCGGCAATCGCCGACAAGATTCCGCCGCCTTCCTCCCCGACCCGCACTTTCGCCTGAATAAAATGCGCCGGCGATCACTTCCAATTGTGCCTCCGCCGTGAATAAAATCCAATTTCTACCTTTTCCATCTCGATTTTGCCGACAATGCTCTGCACTACTACACCCTAGGCCTGTCTAGTTTAATTGTTCAAAATTATTGGGTTTAAATTGTGGATCATTGGATTTGGATGCAATGGGAAGGTTGAACAAACTCTATGCCCTTTACTCCTTAGGTCAAAGAGTTCCAGCGACGACGGCGAGCGAGGTCAACGCGGGGGCGAGTGTCCGATCAGTGGCGTCTTTTGAAAATTGGGTGACCGGCCGGCAAGTCCGAGGACATCGAGTTCATTTTGTTTGTTTGGGACCGATTTTTTGAAGTGAGATGACTTCCAGGGCCTTATTTTGAAAATTAGGTTATTCTTAAGGATGTATATGCAATTTTTAAAATTTTAATTAAATGAAATTTAATCCATAGGCTGAATACATAATTTATAAAAAAAAAATACATAATTATATATTTTTTTATATTTATAATTTTTATATTTTATAAATATATATATTATGTATTTTCAACAATCATAATATAAAATATTAAACAAAAAAATATTAAAATACTAAATATGTTTTATAAAATAAATAATAAATTAGTTTGATTATTTAGATTAATTCGACTAACCAAACGAAAAACCTAAATATTTTCGTACTGCATAATACAATATCAGACTGCACAATAGTGGTAAATCAAATGCTCATTAATGTGCTCGAACATGCACATAAGAAAAAAAAAATAATAATGCTGTTATGCTAATGTTTAGTTTCACAGATATTAAATTTTCGGTTATTTTGGTTTGACATATTAAAATTTATCTATATATTTCTATTTATTTTAAATAAATAATAGTATAAATTTTAAATGAAAATTAGAAACATTAATATGTTTTTGTTATATGAAATAATGTTGATTGAAAACACATTATTTCATTTTTCTAAAAAGTGAATTGCACATAATAATATATTCACTCAATAGACTGCACAATAATGTTAGACGAATTATTAATGTTTATGGAATGCATATTATCATTTATGTATTTTATGTGTCTTTTCAATCACGAATAATGTAAAATATTGAATATAGATATTAAAACACTAAAATATACTTTTGCAATATAAATAATAAATTATTTTATTTAATTTGATTAACCAAAATAATCGGTTAACAAAACGAATAAACTATTTATTGTGAGTGCACAATTGTGTTATAGGAATTACACATTAATGACTATCATATTGCACAATATCAAAGGAAACCAACAGAAAATAAAGTTTTTGGATCAAAATTTTATATTTCGGTTCGAATATATTTTTTTATTTTAAAAAACTCAATTATTTCGGTTCAGTATCGGCCTTTTATTAAAACCGAAATAACCAAACAACCGAATTATATAAAAATACTATTATTATTATGATGGGTCTACTCTCAGATCTAGAGTGAACCACTGGTAATGAGCTCAGATTTGCTTGAATCGCCTTTAAACTGTTGCTAGACCGCAACAACACCTGCAAGAACTCAACGCCGGAAGTGTTTCCGGCATAGAGCCTCCGACGCTCAAGTCAGTATGTGAAAGAGATGAAGAGAAACTGCTCTGAGAGAGCAGCAACAACTATAGAGGAGAGTGTGAATGAATGGAAGTTAGGGTTTAGGGTTACCTCGTCTCCTTTATATAGGAGGAAACACTTACTTGAAGTACCCAGAATGCCCTGGTCGGTTTACCTGAAAGGTCTAAATTGCCCTGGTCGATTCATCTCCCATCATTGCTGAGTCATGACAAGATTCTTTCTTATCCATTGGGTGACAAGAGACTCAAAGAGATATCACAAGTGTATTGAATCGTCTGTGTGCTTCACGTCTCGAGGTGCGAGGAGTCGCCCTCGAGTACTGGGAGGTCGACTTAGGGTTATCTAGATATTCGGAGGCCACGCTCTCATTGGTATTCCAAATAGAAGTCGTCTTTCGGGAGTCGACTGTGTGAAGTCGACTTCTAGGAGTCGACTTGTATGGATTTTGTATCTCCTCGCGGTTATTACTTGAAGAATCGACATTTTGGAAGTCGACTTAGTTATGTCAACTGGAATGTGTCGACATGTGGGCGATGTGAGCCGTCGTTCGTTCGAGTAAGGGATTCTTAGACCAGTATATCATAATATGGTTATATCATCTAGTCCCCCTCAAAAATTACTCTAAGCAGTCGAGTGGTTGAGAGTAGATTTGATGGTTATGCGCCTCCTGGGTCTTCGCCCGTCATTTCCTTATCACTGCTTGAGATCTTCTCGAGACATTTGCTTTTCGACTTTTGACAATCGTTCAGGCTTCATTCCAGCCGCGATATCCTACTTGAGTTACGATACTAATCGACTCGTCTCGTTATTTTGTTGAGATACACCTCGATCTCTTATGATTCTTGTCGGATAAGTCTGACATTCTGATACCGCTTTTTATATTTCGAATTTCAAAACCCCGAAGTGATGCACGTCACCTCAACTGCCGTCTCTTCGA